ATGAGGGCCCTTCTCAGAAATTCCTGCTACTGAAGAGAAATAGGTGCCTCAAATTCGAAGTTCCTGGTCAGTTACTCAGTGTTTTCTTTCCACTTCCTTTGTGAGAAGTAGCTGCTGTCACTGCTGGTGAAAGCCCAGCTTGTAGTACCCCTGGGGAGTACTGACTTCTTTAGTCCTGCCTGCCTCCAAACCGGTCTCTGTCCCATCTGATGGTTTTCCCATCACGTTGGCTGGACCCCCACAAATTCTGTCTTCCTCGTGTGTCTACTTGTTTTGCACTGTCCGTTTTCACCCCACCTCATCACTACTGCACATTGGGATGGGAGAGCATCACTGACTCCTTTGGATCCAAAGTACCCTCGAGGTCCCGTCTACCTAGTTTCTGAAGCACATGTAGGTACAAATCTCTTGGATATTCTGGTGTAACATGCACGCTTTCTTTTCAGTTATGAATGACCAATTAGTTGTAAGTAAAAGGGGACAGAAAAACAGGACTCATGTTGCCACAATGCTGACAGCACTCTTTACTTTTTCTTTGTAGATTTAAGTTACGTATAGTATCAAGAATTAAAATTTTTGATACCTGGGAATTCATGAATGCTGGTTTTGAAACCCTGGCAAATCAACTGAATTAAGAAAAAAGGGGGGATGGAGATTCCAGGTCAAACACTATTTATCAAGGACTGTTCGTGGGCCATGGCACACCAGCAGGTTATGCATGAGTTGGGGTAAGATTCCTGGTTCTCAGCAGGGGAAACACCCCCTTTCAAAGCATTTTTTTTTGGTATGCTAAAACAAGTAGCCGTAATGTGAAAAACCTCTAGTGCTTCCTTTCAATTCATTCCTTTTTACTTCATCCCACAAATGTGTGCTAACTAAATGCAAGGCACGGTGCTAGGTGCTGGGAATATGTATGACCATTACACAACTGTGTATTTCTTAGTGCTTTTATTTCAGTTCTTTTGGCATATGTAAGTATCAGAAAGTGAATATGTACATACAAAGTTCAAAATAACTTCCTAAAATGGTTTTAGTATTGGCCAGTCACTAACATCTTTATTTTGAAAGCTTGAATTGTCAAATACTTAAAGTGCATTTTTTGCAGCTAACCAGTAGCAGCATTTGTTTTGTCTATAAAACCTTAAGAAATATTCAGGCAAGAGCTGGAAATGTCACAATAAAAAATAAAAAGTGATCTAGATAACAGTCTTTCTTAATCACCAAGACAAACACTTGCATGAGTTAGTTTAAGTGTACAAGGGCAATACAAAAAATAGTATGATTAAAAAGTTTATACAGCAATGAGAAAAGGAGGTATTTCTTTGCTCTTAATATTAAATATGGCAAGGCGTATACTCAACAAAGCTGGACTTGCACAAGACAGCGCAGAAGACTCCTCGGCGCGGTTCTGGAGAAACCACCAACACAACAGAGATGTTCTTTCATTACTGAGACCGTCAGTTCATGGCTTCTTGCGCCTAAAATGCAAAAACCAGTGTTCAGTGTTGAATTTTGAAATTCAAAATCAGTAACACATTCAGAGAAATCTAATCTCTAAGAGGGCTTTAAGAGATTTCCTGGTTTTATCATGGGAAAAGTTCAAGTCCTTCTGAGAATGCAAGTAACTGTTACAAAGTATGCTTATCTAGTATTTAATTTAAAAAACAGGACTTCCCATCTTTTTCCCATTGCAGTGATTTTACAAGATGCCTAAGGAATACAGGTGTTAAAAGTGGACACATGGACTTATGTAAGTAGATATTTGAAAAGAAGGAGTTATACTAGTATGGAAAAAAGAATGGGACAGGTTCTTGGGTACGTGTTTAATACAAGAGAGAAAAGTATGATTCCTTTCCCAACCATAAAACTCCAGCATTGTATGACTTTAGTGAACACTTAATTGCTATAACTAAGACCAAGAGGCAAGTTAGGAAAGAATGAATTACAGGAAGAGCTGCCATCCCTCACTAAAGCCTTTAGCTTCACCTCCTTATAGGTAATCTCAGTTCAATCTCTGAAAGCTTTGAGCATTGACAAAATATGAACAAGAGTGAGCCAGTAATTGATCACCTCCTGTTCTTGTAGCTCTAATTTTTCTTACCAAGCCTTCTGAGGGTCCCAGCACTGCTGCTGCCTATTGCAATCTGCCAGTAGGGCCTAGATATTCCACGGGGTAAACAAAAACCGCTTGTGTCTTCTTAAAAGAAAGTGGATACTAGGGAGGAAGGGTGGTGGTGGAAGTACTACAGGAGGGAAAACATGCACAGGAAGGCCCCCATTAACCAGTACTTACTTGGGTTGTGCATGATGCTGATATCCAGGTCCCAGCTGAGACCCTGCTCTCATCTCTACAGCCATAGAGCACTGATAGGAAAATTACAGAAGAGGAAAAGATCAGTTCCTCTCAGCAGCCTATAAAACACAATTCTGTTTAGCTAGGTTCCACCAAGGTGAAACCCAACACTGCTTTCTAGTTCAGCTCAGGCACCTGTAAAAACACCAGATACTCCCAGTTTATTTGACACAGGCCACAGGGACTGTGATCTGGAGTGGTCTTTAGAGATCATCCAGGTAAATTTACTCATTGTACATATAAAAAAAGGAGTTCCTGAGAAAGTTAGTGGCCAGAGCTTGGTCCCCTAGCCCCCACCTTCCCGTGCTCTATCCATATGAGCCTCTCATTAAGAATAACAGTTCCAGGGGAAGTTCTGCCTCTGACAGATTCCTATAAATTAGATGTGAATTCCTGTTATTCTAGGGTAGTGATGTTCTTCAACCTTTTCCATCTCATAGCACACATACACTAATTACTAAAATTCTGCAGCACACCAAAAAATGTATTTTTTGCCAATCTGACAAAAAAGTATAATTTAGACTGATTTACAAAAAAAAGAAAAAGTATTTACCTACCCTTTTTGCTCTAAAGTGGCTTTTTAAAAAAATCAGGTGCTTATACTTGTATATAAGGATTTCTGGTACCAAGAATTAACCAATCAGATGCAACCTTATTATGCAACATGACCAATAAGACACAACTCTGTTGTATGGCCTATATATTTATGGTTCAAGACAGGGCATTCACACCAATGGCTACTGTGTTGGCTGTTATCATTTTTTAATTTGACCATCTAAGGGAGAAGAGGTCAGTGCCCATGACTAAGTAGTCAAGCATCTCATGTTTTAAAAATCTTTGTGGCACATCAGGTGCAAATTGCTGTTCTAGGGTGATGCTCTCTGACTTGATTCTTGGGCCTTGGGCCCTGTCTGTCTACACTGAAAATAGGGGCTTTGAGCCAAAGACCTGAAGAAATATAAATAAATACCTTCACAGGTTTGCTAGGAAAGGCCTATAGGCTGTACCAGCAATGTGAGATCAGACCACAGCTACTTCAAAAAGCGTGAGAAGTAACAGCAGTGGGACTTAAAACATGGCACCCCTGATTTTATTAACCAGACAAATATTCATTTTTACCCCTACCCTTGTTTCTACATCGGTCCATTCAGACTCTGCACCATCTGGTTGGGCAGGTGCTGCCGAGGAAGATCTTCGTTTTCGACTGTGGGAAAAGGGGAGACATGATATGAGGCAACACTTATTTTCACATCTAACAGAAGACATATTTGCAGTAGGGAAATACCACTACACTTCTTCAGAGACTAAATAATACCCTTTACAAGTTATTCTGTTCCTTGAGAATGAGCAGCTAAGAAAATGACAGCCCTCTAAAGAGATACGTTTGATGATGGCTCACCTAGTCGGTGATTCTTGTTTCAATGTTTCAATATCAGTAAACTGAACAGATTGTCCACCACCCCTTGTTTTATAAACATCACCCTAGAGCCAAGAGAAAAGAGCAGCATTACACTTTGATAGCATCCAAAGATAAACATACATATATATTTCAAATTGAATTTAAGACTATTGTTTTATGGAAACTCTCATCCACAAAACTAGATAGTGCTTGGGGCTGCTGGGTCTGTACTATTAAAACACTTTAGAAATTCAAGTACATATTGCTCACTAAAGAAAAAAAGTCCAATGCAATGTAATCAGTAAAATTATTAATTGCAGAAAGTGATACTCCTTTTCATTCAACTTATAATATAAAAACTATGCTTAGGATCAAGAAATCTGCCAGAAATTTCTAAATATTCTAAGGCTTTATACTTTCCTCTCTAGCTGTGCCACTCCCTGCCCCCACAGTCAAATGACAGTACAGTCTTATTTGAAACTATAGTTATAATAAGAACCATCCTCTAAATTAAATGTGAAATGAAGAGAAAATTTTCCAGTCTTGTCTCTTACTTCCCTTATTATAGACTATGATCATCTGGGGAAAATTTTTCTATAGACATAAGGGAAAGGGCTTTGGGTAGCTCAATGCCAACTAATTTTGATAGGTCAAATTTTAATGTGGACTTTTAATCTTGAACTGACAGGAAGTAAAGGTAGTCCCCTTGTTTAGGTTTAATTTTTAAGTAGGGATTAAAACTAAATATACACTAATTAAAAGTAGATAATAAACCTGAATTCCTTTAACAAACCCGAGAATCTAAGCTTCATTCAATAGAAAGCAGATTTGGTCCCGGTTTAACAGATTCACACCCCGAGCAGTTACTTTAGTTCTCTAAGGAAGAGGTTAAATCAAATACCCATTTATGTTCCAGGAGACACTGCTTATGTGTCATGGGTTTTTGTTGACTTTCTGTATGTAGTTTTTCTCCCTGTGTAAATTTGTCTTTACCTTAATTAGTTTAGTTTCAATCTCCCCATCGGAGGCTAGTTCCTGGTGGGTCAGCATGTACTTCTCACACTTAGCTAGTGCCTTTTCATTTGGAACAGACACTGTGATGGCGTGAGGGACATGTGGCTGCATGACTGTTTCAGTTTGCACGTTAGAGGCAGGCTTATGATCTACCCATCTGTCTCCTGCAGAGCGTGATCGTCTGTGTCGGAGACGAAGTGGTGGTGCGTTCTGATCAAGTTAAAAGGAATCAAGAAAGAAGCATAACCCAGAATTAATTTAGGGGTATCAGAAGTGCAGCAGGTTTGGCTACATTACTTGGTGACAATATCAAAACAAATGCACAAACCTTTTCAAAAGCTAAATATTCAAATGATTTAAATGTCCTCTCTGATTTAAATGCAAAACCAACAAACATCTTTTAACACCAGCTTGCATATTATATATTCTACCAGGGGCGTCCCTTTCACCAATGAATGGAAGAAAAACTTCTGGTAATGCTGCTAGTCTTTCCTTATGTAGGTGGTATTTAAGACAAATAACTCATTTCGAATTCTTCACCAACATTTGTCCCTGCTATTGTGAGGTAATCTTATTAGGCCCACAACTATGATAAAAACTTTAATGATATCCATAAAAACCTAAACATCTCATAGGCCTCTAAACAAAGAGAAAACACTCCTTATACAAAGACAAAAAAGCAAAAGCTAATTGGGCTGTATAGTACAAAATGCTAAAGAACATAAGGGATAATTAGGAACCCTATGGATAAAATGATTAAAAGAATGTAAATAAACTCTTTCTGAGTACTTTCTGAAACTTAAAAAATTTTAAACTTCATTAAAAATCAAATAGAACAATTGCTATAACATACCAACTATTTTTTCCCATGAAACATTTCATAAAAGGTTCCAAGAACCAGATAAAGAATATAGTATCAAATCAGTCTCTATCACACAATGAAAAACTAGTTGCTTCTAGTCAAGCATCATTCAACCTAAGAAAAAATACTTCACGTATAGGAGAGAGTTAGTAGATTGAAGCAGTGAGTTATCTTTGGTACTTTGCAAACATGCTTGTTTGTAAAGCTGGAAGCAAATGAAACAGCCTGCCACAGGCCAAACCCTTCATAGCTGGTCAAGTAAGAAGACCCCAATTTCAAAATGCATACCTGGAGAACTAAAGGCATTTTCCTATATAATTAGAAAAAACAAATGAAGCACCAGTGACAAATCACGATAGTGTAAAAGGCAGGCAATATCGCCCCTTCTGGTGTGGCTCAGTTGGGTGCCATCCCACAAAGCACAAGGTCACTGGCTTTGATTCCCAGTCAGGGGACATGCCTGGCATGTGGGTTCCATCCCCTGTGGGTTAGCGGCTACAAGAAGTAACCATCGATATTCCTCTCCTTGCCCTCTCTCTAAAAAAATTAATAAAATCTTAAAAACAAAAACAAACATGGGCAACATAGTTTGCCTGTAAAGATGCCCAAGCCTCTCAGCAAGCAGGAAACTTCATGGTTAAAATGGCTTAATTAATGTTAAACAATACAGTCTGGCCCTCACAATCTACCATTTAGCAAAAGTCATGGTTTTCTTGAATACATTTAGTAATAAATACATTCTGAAATAAGCTTTGGGAAGATGATAGATCTTACAATCTACTATCACTTATGAAATAAATTATACTTAAATTTTTTTCAAGTATAATTTCAGTCCCCTGACCATAATTTTTCATCAACAAACCTAGATGCATAGATACTAGCCTAAACTTTTCTGCTGCACTTCTTAGAGATTTTGATTTCAAGTGAGTTCAAAGATCTCTAGTAAATCCTCTTAAATATCTTCTTAGCCAAATTAGGTATTAATGTTGAACAAGCATAAGGAGGCCTTGAATAGTTTTGTCTATAAGCTTTCATGAAATAAAGGGGATTTACAAGAGTTGATCAGAAAGACCAGTCACCATAATTTGCTCCCTACAAAGGTTTAAAGCAGTATCTGCAAAGTACATATAACTTAAGAGACTTTCAATTCTCTGTTGCCTTGGTATATACCTGGAGTTCATCACCATTCCTTATTAATCAGAAATGTACACCACCTGAATGAAAATATTCTGTACCCTAAATTATACAAGAAAATCTAAAGCAAATAGCTACTATAAGATTAATTTGTTTAGAAGAAAAAACTTAAAAGAGTAATGTATTAAGATTTTATTAAATGTAACTTCACAATAGTAACTTGGTTCATTTATTCAAATTCAAGGGAAGAAATTTACCCTAATCCTTAAGAAGAATATACAAATGTGAATTTGTTTAAACACCCTTAAATGAGGCAGAGCTCTTAGAAGCTGAAATGAAGGTCTTGAGATTAAAAGCGATTTATTAGGCATGCAAAGCTTCAGCAGTTACCAAACAACTGGCCCTGGACTCTTCAAAAACAGCCAGTGTCATGAAAATTCAAAAAGGAGGGACTATTTTATATTAAAAGAGATTAAAGAGACAGCAGCCCCATGCAGCGCATTCACCGTGACAGGACCGTGGACTGAGAGAAAAGAAGAGCCGTTACTGGGACAGCTGGGGAAATGTAAACGTGAACTGTGTATCAGAGGATATTTATTCAGAGCTGATGTTAACTTTCTTAGGTGTGATAAAGACTGTGGTTATATAGGACAATGTCTCTATTCGTGTCATGAAGTCTGACTTACTTTCAAAAGTCCAAGGAAAAAAACATTTACATTATCTATGAGAAATAACAATGGTAAATTTAGGTAAGGGGAAAAGATGACACTATCATTCTTTCAACTTTTCATTGGGTTTGAAATTTTTCAAAAGTTGGGAAACAATTTTTAAAGTAAAAGTTCAAAAGCAGCAAAAAAAAAATCTAACTTGGGGGGAAAAAACAAAAGAAAAAACTTGGAAAATGTGCTCTAAGACACTCATATTCACATGCTCATTAGCTTAGCAACTAAACAGCACAGATTACGCCGGCACGTACCCTACTGACCTAGGTTCGCTGAACACAAGGCCTATTTCTCTTGCTAAATGTTTTTAGGCTGTTTTGGCTGAAGAGCTAGGCCTCATTTTGGGGTGATTTGATCTTGCAAATTAACATAAAAATTAAACCTTTTTTACATGGGAGTTTAAGCATCTTTTTGTCCAACTTTTTGAACCAAGTTACAAAAACACAAGATTAAAATCTATTGCTATAACGCTTTAAAATAATACTGGCACACTAACCCTGCGGCATTGATCCTCTTCTATTTCTATCTCATTTCTGAATGTAGGAACCACCTCCCTGCCTTCAGTCCAGTACACCCCTCGCCTTCTGTCTGACACGATACAAGTTTTACTTTGTCCTGGCTCCTGCTGCCTACGCCTTGCAATGGATGTGACATTGAGAGGTGTGTTGTGCGGAGGAATTTTCTGCTCCCACTCCGAAATGCAGGAAGCTACAGAAATGCTGCTGCAAGAGTTAGAGCGCCTATGTAGCTGTGGCTGTTTCATGAGTTGCTGGCCGTTGGAAATCTGAGCAATATAGTTACCAGAAAGCTAAAAAAATTGAAAAGAAATTAATGAGCAAGACCGAAAAACTGAAACAATTCATTACTTTTCTACAATACACATGAAGATAACATTATTATTTGTATCAAATTACATTTCTATACTAAATTTGTATTTATACGAAGTTAAAAAATTAAATAGAAGTTTGAGAAATGTACGTAATATGGTAAGAAAACAAAAAAAATTTATCATCATAGAAATAATAACCTAATCTGAGATTTTATTAAGGTCTAAGTTACTGCACAACTACACACAACTCACAGGCACTGGCGATGGAGAAACGGATCTCTGAGTAGCTTTCTCTCGATCGCGCTCCCGAGAGGGTCTCTCTGGCTTTTCCGTTTTGGGTTCAGTAACAATAGCTTTCAGTTGTTTCAATTTTTCATCTTTCACCCAGAGTTTATTTTGCATCTCCAGTTGTTTAGCTGCCACTCGACGCTCCTAGACATTGTCAATGGCAATATACATTCTAATTCAATTACACCAAACAAGTACACCAGATTACTGAGACACTATTTCCTAAGAATGACAGTTCTCCACTTCTTCCTGATATATACTTCATTCTGCTAATGAATTCCAAGGGCAGAGAAAGAAATAAACTAAACTGGCAACTATTGTCACAACAACCAGAACCCAGGTACAATCATTCAAAACAGTACAGTTTGAAATAAGTCACCTGTCTTTGCGATAAGCACTACAGGAATGACACTTACGCATTCTTTCTCCCACTTCATTGTTGTTTCTGTCACCATGTCTTGTAACCTGGCCTCTAGTCTGCGTTTGTCAGAAAACTGTCGCTGAAGTTTCTGATTCTGGGCTTCAAGTTCATGTTGCAGACTACGCTTATCTTCTTCAAAGATAGTAGTTGTTTTCTCTAATATTTCAATCTGGAAGGCAGACCATTATGTTTAATATATGGCATGTAAATATTTCATGTAGCTGTAAAATAACCTCTTTATGCAAATAGTTGTGGGGGGGGGAAAAATGGAGAGCCCTGGCTGGTGTGGCTCAGTGGACTGAGTGCCGACCTGCAAACCAAAAGGTTGCTGGTTTGATTCCCAGTCAGGGCATATGCCTGGGTTGTGGGCCAGGTCTTCAGTTGGGGGGCATGCAAGATGCAACCAATGGATGTTTCTCCCGCCCCTCCCCTCTCTAAAAATAAAATCTTAGAAAAAAATCATGGAAAAAACATTTTCCTCTAAAATTTCATCTGAATTGCTACCTTCGTTCCTAGAAATGAGAACTTTTCAACTGCTAATATCTAACTTATAAAATTGAAGAGTACAATCTCCCCTTTCACTCACATTTCCCCCTTTTGGGGGTGGGATGAAGATTAGTAAATAACTAAGTGACAACTCTCAGTAAGTGGTGTTTACAGGCCAGGACAGCACAAGGGCTAAGTCAGAGGACAGTAGTGAATAATGCTAAAACCAACCTTATATTCTAAAGTCTTGTTTTTTTTCTCCAGTCGTTCTATTTCCAATTTCTGTCCTGAGATCACCTTTTCTTTTTCATTTAGTTTTCCTTGAATGTAATTTTCTTTATTTAAAGCACCACTGTCAAATTCTTGCAACATAGCTTTAAAAGTAACAGCTGAAACAAAAGCATGCAGGTTTTTGTTCACCCCAATTCCAAAGAGTCAATGCGATAAGCTTGTATTAGCCAATACTATAGTCTTTCCTTTTGTACTATGGCATTCTCTTCCCAGCACTTAGGGTAAATAATTTGCTTCAGAACAAATGCAAAAACAAAAGTAACAGTAGAGTCAATTCAGGAACACTTAGATCCCAGCTGAATCCCTAGTGTACCACTCTGTAGGTATGTGACGTGGGCAAGTTATTTTTTCAAGCACATTTCCTCATTTCAAAATGGGAATTTAAATACCATTTATTTCACGCCTTTTCTTGTGAAGACTACAATGAATTGATGCTGATGCTCAACACAGTGGATACATTCACTAAGCACTAACTATGTACTGGGCTGTTCACCCTTCTACCCCATTCTTGTACATTATCTCAAAACATTATTCTTGGAAGCAGGAACAATTACAGTTTTACCACCCATTTTGCAGACCGGGAAACTAAGAAATAGAGGATTGAATAACTTGCTGAAAAGTACTGTTATTAAGATATAATATACGAAGTGCCCTGCAAATAATTAACTAGTAGGAACGACAAAGTAGCTATGATTCCTTTGTGTGCATCGCCGTTAATTTAAGAAAAAAGAGCTGTGGAAAAGTTCCTGTCAGACTCATGAGACAATGCCTCGGCACTTACAAAGAGCAGAGACAAAATAACCCTTCCTTAAGGGTCCATCCCACCACAGAACTCAGGTTTGCTGCAAATTCCCGGAGTTAAAATGTCCTTACATTGTTTGTTAAACTCATCAATCATTGTTTGTCGTAGCAGATGGCGCTTCTCTAATGCTTCAATAAGCCTGGGGAGAGTTTGCTCGTCATTGATGTCCAAAATTTCACAGGATGGCAAAGGTGGAAAACTCTGTAAAACCACTTCTGTAACCAGCAGTTCTGTATTGAATTATAAAAAATTATAAAAAGTTACTTAGGAGAGAAAGAACTTATTTAAACAAGTTTAACACTGTGATTAGAGCCCCAGTCCAATTAACCATGTGCTTTCATGGGCTGTCATGATTAAATTTCTCTAAAAATTAGCTGTGCCCTGGCTGGTGTGGCTCAGTAGGTTGGGTGTCATTCCACAAAGCGTAAGGCCCTGTCAAGGCACATGCCTGGGTTGCAGGTCTGGTCCCTGGTCAGGGCACGTATGAGAGGCAACAAATGGATGTTTTTCTCCCTTTTTTCTTCCCTCCCTCCCCCTCTCTAAAAATAAATAAAATGTTTTTAAAAATTAGCTGTGAAAAAAGGGGAAAAGTTAAGAAAATGAGTTATATGTAACGAAAGAAATATCATTTATACATTGGTTCAGATTTCTTTCTGCACTTGGTTCTTGAGGGGAGGGGATGTAAACAGTTCTCCTATGTGAAACAGATTGAACAGAGACACGGACTACTCAGTGGGTAAACGGTCCGATCCCAAACCGTACCATCTCCGACTGGGCCTGCCCGCGCGTGGTTCCTGTATCGCCGTCCAGGTGTTAACCCACATATTGCCTTGTCTGCTGGTCTTGCTACTTCAACTTCTTGGGTCACTTCTGCAAATCTCATGACTTGCTAAGATACAAAACAAATAGAGTTGTTCTGTGTGTGTGTTTTTACAAATAAATATATCCAATTCTTCAGAAATTACTAAATGAAACAATATTAAATGGCTAGTTTCTGTAATGGATGGTGCTGCACCAATTTTTGAAGTATTCAAAATGTCATTCTTCATACCAATGTAGTTGTGTTCTCTGCAGAAACTCGGAGACTGTACAGAATAAATACATTAAAATTACCAAGCTTTCTTCATAATCTTCAGCCTTTGGATTCACACACACAATCATGCGTACTTTTCCTTCCCCATCAAAGTAGTTCTTGAACAAATGGGTTAATTTTGAATCTCGATATGGAACCATCTAGAAAACATTGAAATCCAAATAAATACCTAAGGCAAAAAAAAGCAGACAAATAAAACTACACAAATGGGAGACTGTTGCGTACCTTGTTAGTTCCATACATTTGGTTCTCTCTCAGGACTTCCATACAAGTTCTTAGTGTCATTAGTGACTGGTTAATGTTGCCTGACAGAAAAATATACATAGAAGACATTTGAAAACACAAGTAGGTAGAGTATGGTCTGTGTCTATAAAATCCCTGCTGTACCAAACTATTAAAGGGAAATAACAGATTTTAGTGCCTCGGGTTAAAGAGCTGTCCATGCAGGGTCTGGCAGTATTTCTGAAGTACTTGAATAGCATTGTGTCAGGAGAGGTTAAATACCATCCTTCAGGGATGCTGTCAAAAGGACTCTCCACTAAATGCAACATTACACTTCATGACCCATTAAGTTTCTTCCAAATCTTAAATTCTGTGAAAGAGTGTATTAGATGTAGGTGTTTAATATCCTCATATAAAATATTATCTCTGAAGCATGATCATTTCAGGACACAAGTTGGCTCCATCAACACTGACATCTCTCTCGCACCCAGCGAGACTCCGGTTTTTAGCAGGCAGTGTCTAAGGATCCAGCTAACGCTGATCCCCTCTCCATCTAAAGTGACAAGTATTTCTTAGGTGGTATACTTGTTACTTGTCACCACTCTTGTTTGGACAGATTAATCAAGCATCCAGTAATGCAGGAGATCTCACCTGCATAGACCCCAAAAGTACATAAGAATGTGTTCATTTTGGAACTTTGATTGGGGTTGACTAACTCTACCATGCTTTCATCCTTGACCACCTCTCAAGACGTATGGCTCACCTGTACCCCCATAATATCCATGACTGATAATTTATCTTCCTTGACCCCAATTCCTAATGTCCTTTCTTCTTCCACTGTGCTCTCAGGAACCCATCTTTGTTCATGGAGTTCCCTAACCCCTCAAACCTCTCACAGAACGTTCCACTGAACACTCTCCCTAGAGGCCAGGTGTCCATGTCCATGGGTTCGCTCCAGCGAGTCTGCATACTTGGATGGGAACTAAATGGCATCTTTGTTTTTATAGCACTATAGCAGTTTATTGCTAATCTCAAGATATTTATGTTCATTGCTACTTTGAAATTATGTAGTTATTAGGTCTGAGGGTGGGTTTCTGTTTAAAGCATTAGTAAAGCAGCACATAAATTACTGTATGTCAAATGTTATAGGAATACTTTAAAAATA